TTTTGTTTTTTTTTTTTTTTTTCGTTTTTTTGTTTTTTTTTTTTTAAAGCGTCAGGCTGGATGTGGATGTGGATATGGATATATGCCGAACTGGTATATGCGAAAAGTTCTACTGCCTAGCTAGCTAGCTTGAAAAGGTTTTGGGATTGGGATTGGGAGTGGGAGTGGGAGTGCGAAATGGGAGTGCGAAATGGGTGGTGCTGTGTGTGTATGTATGTATCCAGAGCCGTGGAATTTATTTTATAGAGGTCGACGCTAGCGCGGAGTATGTAGTGCATCAATAGCGGATTCCAAAGTTGGTGAGTAGGGGAAGGCGTTTTGCTGCTGTTGTTGTTGTTGCTGCTGCTGCTGTTGTTGTTGGTATGTAGCTTTTCGGACGAGAGCTCTTTGCGTCGGTGAAGAAGATGTTGAGGTTGTTGTTGACTTATTTATGTAATGTAATGTATGTATGTCTGTCTGTCTGTCTGTACACACGCATAGCCGGCTAATCCAGAACCGCGTGCGCAACAACACCCCACCCCACTACACTCTACTCGAGTCTACGTCCTCACAGATGCGTCCGTCCGTCAATGACATCAATCAACGGCCCCCCTTTTTTTTTTTNTTTTTTTTCTTTTTTTTTCTTTTTTTTTTTTTTTTTCTTTTTTTTCTTTTTTTTCTTTTTTTTTCTTTTTTTTTTCTTGATTTCTTTGTTTCTTTCGACAGAATCGGAATCTTGGAATGGTTTTTGGAAGGAAGATAGGTAGGTAGGTAGGTAGGTGCCCGAGATGGAAGGGCGGAAAGGCGGTGTGATGCTGAAGTTGCCCTACGTACCGTACGTAGTACCGGTAGGCCTTCTTCTATAATCAATCGGCGCCATATACAGTAGGAGGATGGAAGTGATGCGTTTCATCGGATGCTACTGTGTGTACATGGCAGCTGGACAGAGCTATTTTTTGTTTTTATTTTTTATTTTGTTTTTTAAGGGATCAGGATCGAGCGGCCCTAGATGAAGGGAGGGCGGAAGGCGGTGATGCTGAATTGCCCTACGTGGTACCGGTAGGCCTTCTTATATATTCAATCGGCGCCATATACAGTAGGAGGATGGAAGTGATGCGTTTCGTCAGATGCTACTGTGTGTACATGGCAGCTGGACAGAGCCCTTTTTTTTTTTTGTTTTTTTTAAGGGATCAGCATGGAGCGGTTGCGTATTGCGCGGTCGTCGATATTGCTATGGGCTTTGGCTTAGCTTAGCTTAGCGTACTACGGGTCGGCCGGCTGAAAAGACACCAAGATGTTTGTTTACCTGCATCTTTTTTGAGAGCGGGGATCTCGCGAGACCGCTCTCTCTCTCTCTCTCTGTCCCTATTCTCCTCTTCTCCGGTTGGGATTCATGAGCTGGTTCATTTCTGGAAGGCCAGCGATGAAGAAGGCGTGTTGTAGGAGAGGGTTGAGTGTGGGTTTGCTGGTAGTAAACAAGCGGCAATATGGATGAAGCTTCTTCGCCTGTGTATTGCCGAGGGGGGAAATAGTACTACGTCCCAGGCGTGAGTATTACCGTACCCCTCGAGGGTAGACTGACCAGGAGGTTTACAGTGGAAACTCAACTTTCGAGGCACCCTCGAGGGGTGGTGATACTTAGGCCGGTACCGTGGTACTTCTTCAGTACTGAAGGTGGTCCGCGAATCTGGATTCTTCTCTGAATAGGGGGAATGCCCTCTTCGTAAGGGAATAGGTAGATCAAATCCCCTTGCTGATGCTGGGGACCGTGTAACCCGGAAGTGAGTGAGTGCTCCGCGACAGATGCAACCAGAGTGATTTACCGCGCTAACCGAGGTAAATAGTAAGGGGTGATTACCCGAGGGGGTAACTAATCTATCATCGCAACCTCCTGACTCGCAGTTCAATGAGTGAGGAACCGTCAGTAGGCTTTTTTTTTTCTTTTTCTTTTTTTTCTTTTCTTTTCTTTTTTTTTTTTCCCCCGAGACAATCGTCGGCTCGCTTAGGTGGGCCTCTTTACATCCTTCCAATCTTAGACGGCGTAAGCGACGGCGGATCGGAAGCGAATGCGGATTCTTTTACTTTACAACTAGTTTTTGTATACAAAATACAATTCACAACATTACCTTTATGATCTACAACCGCGCAACTCAATTGTCTTCTATAATTAACTATAGGCCGAAAACGCATTCATCCGAAGTAGCCTGTTAGGATTTTTTTCAATACAAAAGCTACGCTTAACTAGGTGGGTAGTCTTAATATAAAAAAAAATCTTGAATCGGTTGCGAAATAATACTTAACGAGTCGTTAACAAGCTTTGGAAAGAAGAAAGAGATGCTGAGTATTGTAAAAGAGTCGATGCCCGCAAAGCTAAGCGCGAACGGAAAAGGACTATACGAGAACGCCTTGCTGGGAGCTTGGTTATTGAGGACGACGATTTAATCGTTATTTTAATTCTCGATTCGAAAGAGATTTAATAGTTGCAATAACTTTTGCGGCCCCTTAAGAAAAGTACTACGTATTCTTCGACCAACTCTCTTTTAACTTAATACGGCTGACCCCGGTCCGGCCTTAATACTAGTCGCTCTACGATTCGCCTAGCCACGCTATAAGCTGGCTATAGCAGTAAAGTCTTTCCGTAAGAACAGGAGAAGAAAGGATGATTATTATTCTAAGGGGTACAGAAGGCTATATACTTCCGAGGTGCGCTAGTGAGTCGTGATGTCATTAATGATAGTCCTTCCTTCCCCGAGCTTTCTGTAGCAGTATGTACCACGGTACAGGCCTAAGTGTTACAGCCTGAGGATGCCTTAAAATTCTAAATCTCCACTTTAAACCATCTGGTTACCCTACCCTCAGGGTGTAACACTTACTTATGCCTGTGACGTTGTACCTGCTTGAGTTTCTTTTATAGTTTTCCCTTAGCGAGAGATTTCCTTTCACTGTGATCCATCTTATCCGTAAGGGGAAAAGGCGCAGACGACAGTAGGTAGCTATCGCTGCACCACATCGAATTGCTTTCTAGGGCCCTCCTGTACATACGTAGTAACTCCTGACCTTAGCACGTCGCCGTACCCCATAGGAGGTCCCAGGGCGGAAGGCTTCGCCTGCCACCCGCCCGACGTGAATAAATAGTAGTACAACAACAACAACAAGAAAAATAATAACTCTCTTAACTAAAACCTTTTCTCGATAACGATGATTCATTATGAGGCAGTGGGGAGTGGTGTGGCCAGTTCGGGTATCTCAAGCACGAATAAGCATACCTCGCTTATCGTGGCATGCCTTCAAGGGACCCCTAACTTCGATACGTAGAAACACTATTATATAATATAGCTAGGGCACGCGATTCCTTCTATTCGCATGAAAGGAATCAGCTCCCTTAGAACGTTGAGGAGGACACGGAAATCAGGTACTATATTTACCCATTGTTTTGCAATTGCAAGAAGCTACGTGTGCTGCACGCTACGTAGTATTTACAAAGTTACGAACGAACGTTCACGCGATCGCTACGGGCGATCCAACAGATACTATTAAAAGCTTCTCTTCAAAAGCCAAATTTTTTTCCTTTTCTTAATATAGATAGCGATAGCGATAAGTATAATACTAATAATAGTAATTATTGAAACGATCCATTACGTAAATAAAAAAAAAAACCGAATCAAATTCTGATAAAAATAGTAACCGATAGCCAGATGTTTTATGGGATAACACGATTTTGGACTTTTTCGAAAGGAAGTATACTCGTGGATTGATTATGTATATAAATATTTGATCGTTGTAATAGTACCACGGTACGGGCGCAAGTTTTACCCCTCGAGGGTGCCTCAAAAGTTTAGTTCCCACTATGAACCCCCTGGTTACCCTAGCCTCGGGGGGTAATACTTACGCCTGGGACGTAGTAATTGCTCTAGTATAGAAGAATTTCCAGTATACACGAAGAATCCGCATGCGCTTCCGATCCGCAATCGCTTCCGCTGTCTAAGACTGAAAAGTATATAAGGAGGCCTAGCTAAGCGAGCCGACGATTAGGTAGTAAGTAGTACCGGTATTTTCGCACCAGGATTCTTTGCATTTGATAGCTTGAACTCTCCTCAACCATGAGCTTTGAAAAGGTAGATAAAAATCTCAAACATTAAGATAAGAAGAGAAACGGATCATAACTACGTAGTACGTAGTACGTAGTACTACTACGAGAGAATTCAGTTTCAGATTAGGATTTAGTAAAGTTCATTAAAGCAGAAGTATACATAGAAAATTGGCTTTCTATTGCTAGTACTTATCTGGTGATAATACTAGGTCACAGGAGGAAGCAGTTCTGATGGTTGTGCTTGACTTGACTTGTATTATCTACCGGTACCTACAGTAGGACTGGGAATTGGGGCGAGGTTGTAGTGGGGACCAGTGCCAAGGCTGAGGGCCGTGCACCCTGCTCACACCTTATACTCGCTCTGGCGCTTTATCGCCTCGGGTGCCTGGTCCACCCACCATCCCCGGCCAGGACCTCGAGAAGGTCGCGCCGGTGGGGGAGATGGTCCTGAACTCGCTAACCAAGATGGAGTATAGCGCCGGCGCGAGAAGGTAGTGGTATCTGGAGAGTCAAGATTAGCCGAAGGTTGGTTAAACGTGTCGACTCGTTTGAAAAACTGGCGGCTAACGAGATGTAGACGCTTGGAGCGGCAGCCGAGAGGTGCTTCGAGGGGATCGAGGCTCGAGCCCCGTGGCTGGAGAGTGATCGAGAGGACCTGATTGGGTTTTTGCGGCGGAATGGGTATTACAAGCACGTGCCGAACGTCGTCCAACGCTCCCTGAGCAGCTTCAGATCGAAGCCGGAGATGCTGGGTTGTTTGTGGTTTTTTGTAGAGAGGGCGGGTGGTTTGATCTTGGTGAGAGGCTGAGAGCTGGCCTGACGTTAGGAAGGAAGCGAGTCGTCTTGCCGAATTGGGATAGAGTAATCCGGGCGAAGGAGGGTAGGGGCAGTTCGCAGATCTTGGCCTGCTCATGAGGACAAAACAGTGCTAGGGTCTCTTTTTCATATCGAGGAAGATAAGATACCTGGGAATCGAGCTCGATTAGAGCTCTAGACAGACTTAGTCACTAGCTCCCCTAGATAAGGGCTTGCTTTGTATTAATGCAGGAGGAATCGCTGGAAGGAAATACAACATTATAAGAAAGACCAAGCACGCAGGAGCACCGATTGTATACACAGACTCCATCTTTCCATACGCGCGCACCAGTCCTCATTCCCAAGTCGGTCCAGTTACCCGTCTCAGGATGATGATCTCCACTCTGTGCCGAACCGATGAGAGATCCGGGGTATATCTATCTATCTATCTATCTATTGTAAAGGTGTACATCGAAAGCATGAGATGACAAGAGAAAAATATATTGAAATGGCAGGCTGCCCAGAGCAACGAACTGACGGCGTAATTGCCGTAATGGTTTTTCCCGTCATCTACACGCCGGAATCCTCCGACACGACACCCGAGACGGCGACGTAGGCATCCCACGCAGTGCAGGTGGAGTTGAGGGTATCGTAGTCTATCATTTCCACCATCTCTTCGGAGCGCTCGACGAGTTGGAGGGCAAAACCTTCGGACGTGTGCCAGCCTACACAATTTGGCATTAGTTTCCCTCTCTTTCTATTTTATTTCTCAAGTATTTTTGGAGAGGGGTTTCAGATGCACGGATTTACTTACCGATGTGGCAGTGCATCAACCAGGCACCGGGGTTGTCGGTCTCGAAGGCGATGACGAGGTAGCCGCCGCCTGGAAGCATCGCGACGTCTCGGCGGGGGGGGTTGTCGAGGGTCAGCGTGACAGTGTCAGAGTCGTAGGTTCCGGAGCCCTGTGCGATAATCCAGAAGTCGTGGCCGTGGAGATGAATAGGGTGGGGGACACTCAAGGTCGTCTCGATGATGAAGTAGACCCACTGGCTGTCGGTGGGCAGCTCAATGACGTGGGAAGAGTCGGTCCAGTCCGTGATGTTGTTGTACATCTGGAGTAGGGTTGGGTCCTCCCACTCGACCTCGAAGGTTGTGCCGGCCATGTACCACTTGAACACGTGGTTGCTCCTAGAGACGCTGACAGCTAAGTCTTCGCTCTCGTCCGCGGTGGATACGGTTTTGCTGACATAAGGGACCAGATCGGTCATGGCCTCATCTTCGCAGGAATCGGTGTAGGTGTACGCGGAAGACGAGGGCTCGGTGGTGTCTGTGCTGTCGTACATCATTATGCCCAGGATGTTATCAGCATTTTCATTCTCACTACAAGTCACTTGAGGGATGGCACGTATCCAGAAGTTGCCCGAGGACTGAGTAGCAGTCACGACAATGTCGTATCGTTGACCCATACCAATCGAGAGGACCGTCGTGTCGTAAGGGACAATCGGGACAAGATCCATGGCAATGACAGTCATTGTGTGCTCATCAATCATGAATTTGAAATGAGTATCGATGGCTCCGTTCACAAGTCTGATTCTGTATGACTCGCCGGCGACGACTGTCGTGTTGAAGCGAGCTCCCAGATCTTCGTAGGTATTGGTACCGTTGATCAGACCATTGTCCAAGGTAGGAGGTCCAGAAGTCTCGGCCGTATGGTACAGGGAATCGGCCGTCTCGTGGGTCCAATCATTCAAGAGCATGATGCCCAAATCGTGGTCGTAGTTGGCGGAGGCGGGACCGTTGATGATGATGCCACCAAGAACGCCCTCCCATGCCTGGAGAGCGAAGTGAGAGTGGTACCAGGTGGAACCATACTGAGTCGCTCGCCAGGTGTAGGTGACGGTTTCTCCTGGCGCGGTTGGGCATTGGGTGATGGATGCCACGCCATCATTCTGGTTGGTGTAGTTCTGGCGGATACCGTGGAAGTGGATAGATGTACCGTTGTTGGCAAGGCCGTTGTAGACCGTCACTCTGACGGTATCGCCCCAGTCTGCAAACAGCGTCGGACCGGGGAAGGTTCCGTTGACAAGCAAGACCATTCTCTCGACACCATCAGGAGCGGCGGTGGTGTTGACCAGCTCGAGGTAGTAATCTCGAGTCACTCCCGTGTCGGGGACCACGTTGTAGTAGTCGGTCGAGATGTCGTAATCGCCCCAGCAAGATCTGTCGGAGGCCGAGTTGACGCATCTCTTCGCCAGAGGATTGCGGTCCAGAGACACACGGGGAGATGCGTAGGCAACGGAGAGGAGGGCTGCTAGGCCAGAGGCGAGGAAAGAAGGTGAGAAATGCATTTCAGCAAGTTCAGGATTAACACTAAGTGAATGACAACGAAAAGAATCGAAAGAAAGGGAGAGAGGGCGAGGGGGAGAGAGGGCGAGGGAGAGAGAAGGTTGGTGGTGAGGGCAAGTAGAGACGATGGAGAGGCCAACTCTAAATACTCTCTCTATCTCTCTCTCCGTATCTCTCTATGCCTCTCTCTCTCTCCCTCCCCATCCCTACCTCTCTCTCTATCTCTCTCTCTCCTTTCCTCCCGAGTCCCGAGGCTGCTCGAGTCGAGAAGGGTCACGCCCGTCGAGTACCGTTGCATAACCCTCGTGGGTTCGCACGATCCACAACCTAGTAGTACACTTACGTACAGTGCATGCTACCCTAAAGCTACTTCAAAGTCAGTATGTACCCAGATAAGTAATATAACCCAATGATCTGCCGAACGTTGTAATTAGGAGGCCTCCGTACGTACCTAACCCAGCTCGCTCAGGCCCTCTCTCCTCTTCTCTCGGTGATCTAGACTTCCAAATCAATCAAGATATACGTAGTACTACTACTACAGTACGTACTAACACCCCCCCCCCCCTTCTCATGAATACATGGCGGACCCAGTTTAGCTCCATAAATCGTAGGGCGGTGATTTCTGAATTGCTTAGCCCTGTCAACTCCATTGCACAGACCAAATACTGGCTCAAAGATACTTTCAAGGCTGAACGAATCCTTAAACTACCTACGTAAATTCTACGTCCCAGGTGTAAGTACGTAGTATTATCCCTCGAGGGTAGGGTAAGTAGGGGCCTTAAAGTGGAAACTAGACTTTTGAGGCACCCTCGAGGGGTAATACTACGTACGTACTACGTAGTAGTACTTACGCCTGTACCGTGGGCTGATCGGTTTAAGAGCTGGTAAGATCCCTTGCAAAATTATACTTTCGATATGTATTCATGGTGGGGCCGGAGTGCTAGTTACTAGTAATTGTGGTTCCCGGGTCGATTAATTTGGCCGCGCCAGGGACCCCAGGGTTGGGAATCTGGGGATCGGAGTCCCTCGCACTTGTTTCTGACGCAACGGTCCAAGATTAGTTGGAGGCGTAGTAAGTAGTAAGTAAAAGGTGGTTGTACGTACTTCGTAGATTAGGTAAGTAGTAGTTGGTTGTAGTAGTAGATTGGAATTAAGGCGTGCCTTGTGGAGCTCCGTATACGTTGCTTGTTATTTGCCTTTCCGGGAATTTGAGTTTATTAGACGATCCATGCGTTGTAGTCAGCCGAGAGAAATTCCTTCCAGAACTTCGAGAAGGTGTCAAGAGCAGTTGAAGGCAGTGACTCGGTCCCAGCGGTGTGGGTGCTAGACCTACAGTAGCCTGGGTGCCCTTGGGTGCCGATGCCCTGCCGAAGGCCGACTCTTCGGCCCTGACTCGACCGACTCAACCGACTCATTCGAAAGTTCGAAAGTGGAACCACGGCCCTTCCATTCTCATCGCTGTCATGTTCGACATCTGCCCATTTTTGGGGGCCCAAAAGTCCGTATCCACAGATCCACAGATCCACAGATCCACAAATCATCAACGAAACATCCAATATCATGTGGTCGTGGGGGTACGGGAGGACACTTTACTCCATTGAGCAGCATCGCTAAAATGCTTTGCTCTCTGTGACCTGAAAATCCCACTTCATTAGGATAGGGTTGAGCTTGACATCCCTCTTCCTTTTGACATGGTATAATACTTAACCGCTGTACTTCCGTTGTTCGGCTGCGCCGACCGCGCTTGCGAGATCTTACGTACGTAGTATGCTTAAGGGCCCCGGCCTTATTGTTGCCAAGGAGGATTACCTTCGGTCGGTGACATCCCGGGATTGCCCTTTCCAAATAGTAGTAGTAGGTAGTAGGGGCGACATCCGATTTATTTGTTTCGCGGCCCGACGACGGTGCCGCAGGAGTGGTAGATTGTAGTAAGTAGGCCGGCGCAAACTTGCTGAGGATAAGAAGTCAGTACTTATTCAGCGAGCCCGAGATAGGTTTCTGGTGCTTCCTCACCTCACGTCCCGCCTTCTTACCCATCTCCCACTGTTTCTTTTCTCGCGTTCTTTATCTCTCGATTTCCTTACTTACCACTATTATTCGATCGTCTCCCCCCCTTTTCCATCTGAATCAATCAACATAATGTTCTCGACCGCCAAGATTGCCTCGGCTCTGGCCTTGAGCTCCCTCGCCAGCGGAATGGCGCTCAACCACAAGCGTGCCGCGGAGACCGGTGTCCAACTCTATGTCTATGGCTCTGGATATGGAACTCCCTTGACCTATGCCGATGGTCAGTCTTCCAGTCCCCTCCTCCCCTCCCTGAAACCCCAGACCTACTCCTGACACGTAGAAGGCTTCGCCTACTTCGGTCGCACTTCCCCGGCCGATGCTGTCGTATCAACCAACATCACCTTCACTCTCGACAACGCCGTTGTCTCGGTTCCATGGACCATCGCGGCCAACTCCTCCACCGTCTCCTTCACCTCAGACCTCTCCATGTACATCATCCCATCGAATGGCTCTTTCGCTCCAGTTGGTTTCTCCACTGCCGCCGATCTCCCCACCGGGGCTGTCAACTCTGGCTTCACCTTTTATGGAAGGACCGTCTCTTATGTGACGCCAAGCTCGCTCGACTACCAGATGAACTTTTGGGCCAACGCAACTACCACGCCATACGTGTACGCCCTGTACTGGAAATCCAAATCGGCAACTGTCCCTTCCACGGCTTTCCCTGTGGTCGTCAAGAGCACCTCCCCAACTTTCCTGATCTAATAAGATCCGAGTAGTTGCAAATGAGAAGACGGTTTTGGTGTTTCGAGCAACAGGATTTTGCGGTCCGCAGTATTGACGATATCTGGAACGTGAATATATACGGGCTGTAGATAATGTAAATCAGCGATTTGTATTGTTTTGTATTGTACCCACATGCGATAGATAGATAGGCGGGACGGGACGGGACGTACGTGTTATGGAATCAAACCTTTTGAAGATGGGAACCCAAATATTCTTCCAGTATATCGTCGTCGTCTGAGGGATCGTGAATGAGTGCATGCGTACGTGCGATTGTAAAAAGAAAAAAAAATCAATGAAAAATCAAAAATGAAAAATCAAAAATGAAAAATCAAAAATGAAAAATC